GTGTTAACACCTCTTCCACTCCCTGAGAAGAAATCTCAGCAAATACACATCCTCCTCACCCCTTGGCAGTGTGATTCCAAGGAACATTCTCTTTATTTAGGGAAACTCTCAGAGGTGGAGAATTGGATGTTGAATGTGCAGGTTATTGCCTTAAGTGTTCTTCCGTGTACTGCCCCCTCCTTGTCTACCCAATGGCTCTTCAATTCTTGGAATTATTTCCCAAATAAACGACCCACCTACGATCTGCAACTAAGGAAAATAAATCAGACTAGGCATCATCTCTTAAATACTGTCACACATCTGCTTTTCTGAGAGGTGACAAAGCTTATCCAATTAAGGTATGCGAAGCTGTGAGCTGAACTGAAGGAAACCATCCGAGGAGGGGGTGGGACAAGAACATCAAGCTGAATGGTAGCAAAGTCTGTGATTAGGGCTCCAGTCAGACCTCAAGGGAAGAGAGAGCCTTTGAAGTCTATGTTTGTTCGTACAACCTGAGCCCTGAGCCCAGGAAAACCACAAGGCTTTGGGTTTCTTATACTCTGATGACATCAAGAATCAGCAAGGCTTTGTGCCAAAGATCTAGCGGGTACCATTCCTCTTTGTTTCCTTGAATAAAGCACCCAGCAACCTGCCATGCTGTTGTCTTTAAGAACAAAAACCAGTCAGCTCTGCTCTGAAAAAGTGCTCTGAACTTCTCCCTTCAATACCAAGCAGCTTATATCATAACTATCATGCATATTTAGATGTGAGGAAGCCTGGCTCTGCCAGTCAGGACAGGGTGACAGAAATCGGCAGACACTTAGTTCCCATTCAGGTTTGCTTATCTCCTAACTCTGAGTTTCCATCCTTGCTAGCATGCATTTAGTGAACCCTTTGCAGAAGCCCTTCACTAACACCCACCATTGTGATGTTGAAGATGGCACAGGTGAGCTAGTGTACCCCAGCTTATAACTTCTTAGTTCTCTGAGGTCATCTTTGGGGCCCCTCAGAGCTCTGATTAAGAGCCAATTAAGAATTGAGGTCTCTGATCTCAGTATTTGAGAAGCTGAGGAAGGAGAATCTGGGTTACAGAATAAAATGCTATAGTAGACAAACAAAGATGCCATTTAATATGGATGTCGAATATGTTGAGATTGGCCTGTAAAATCAAATATTTAGGAGGCAGAGGCAGGAAGAGTACAATTTAAAGAGAGTCTGTCCTATATAGAGAGTTTCAAGTCAACCTGGGTTCCATACAAAAACATTTTCTCACATGTGAAAAGAGGAGAATATATGACTGTAGTGCTTGAGGCCTGAGCTTTATTTCCCAGAACTGAAGGAAAGAAAAGAAAGAAAAAGGAAAGAAAAGAAAGAAAAGGAAAGAAAAGGAAAGGAAAGAAAAGAACCATATATATAAAGAACACATCTCTTTCCTCGGTGTGACCCACTGCAAAACATGCTATTTCCAAGGTCAATGTGGCTTCACCTGAAGGTGGAGGCCATTGGTTCCACTTCTGATCTGGGCTGCATGACTAGTTCTGTTTCAGTAAGTGAGGGCCTGTAATGTGAGCCTGAAAAGGCACCCTAGCAGAGGAGCTTGTTCCCTTGCTATAGCAGTTCTGTTGGCAGTGAATTCTGAAAACCCTGGGACGTCCTGGAGCTGAGCACAGCCAAGACCTAGCTCATCTGTAACTGCTTCCTAAGCTGGGACACTGAGAGTTTGGCTAGGTGACTGCCCCATCCAACTAATCGTCTGACTTTCTATTTCATTTTGTTTCCTGATCCATGTCACCTTGTCTCTGACATGGACACTCTAATTTAGGAATTAGAATTGTTCCTTTTGTGTTTGGTAGCAATTCATGTCTCCTGTACAGGTTGGCCACTATGTTTATTAACATGATTTATTAATTAACATGATTTATTAAAGTGACTTATCAGTTACTGGCAAGGCTACCTTTCTTCCCTCCATGTTAATAAGATTTGATTTTAACCAGACAGCACAACATTTTGATTCTCGAATCTCCTAAACTCAAGACAAACAACTTAATAACAGATCTTGGAGGGAGAAAAGCAAAAAACAAACAAAATGGTAGTTATTGGCATAACTTTATAATTGGATACAATCTTATTCCATCTCCTTTGGTATTTTGATCAACTAGAGGAGGTTAAACATTTCTTCTAAAGATGTTTTTTGAATGACATCTGTTGACACCTAAACACATGGCACAAATCATCCTGATACTTTTTTATAATCTTAAATTTTAGAGCTTTTTAGTTGAATACACACTTAGAAGTGGTTTTTATCTAAAAAGAAACCAACAACAAAACTCTTAAATCTGTATTCTCCTTATCATGTCCCCTATCTCTGCTATCCAAAGGATTGACAGCTTGTTCAGCACCTGAGTGACAGTTCCTCACAACACAGGGACTGGCCTGACTCACCTCTCAAATCTCAGAGAATTCTGTAATCTCCTCTAAGAGATAAGCGTTGTTGAGAAGGTTAGCCAATTTCCTGGAGATTAGCAATTTCTGTGGTGAACTGGTGTAGCCTGATACATGACAACTCTTCACTGACTTTCTTGAAAACCTTTATTTCACTGCTATATTATATCAAAATAGCTACAATCACGTTCTGAACAACAACTATGACTTAACATGTAGAAAGAACTGGCTCACATATGTGCTAGATCAATTGAGGTGTGCTGTCATCTGCCAGTAACAGACAAGATCCCTGTTAACACACAATTCCCAACTAAGAAGTGTAAATTTCTGTTGAAACAAAGGTTCAGTCTTCAATTGAGAGGCGGACATCCACTCTATAATTAAAAAGTAAAATATTAGATGGTAAAGTGGATAAGGCAGGTTAAGAAAAATAGTTTTAGGCATTTTCTCAGAAATTCAAATGCAGGCATGCATGCATGCACACACACACAGTCTATCTACCCATCTATTTATTATCTATCTATCTATCTATCTATCTATCTATCTATCCATCCATCCAGACAATCAAAGGCTAGAAAATACTGTCCATCTGTGAATATATGTCTGTGTTCCTATGCCCTCGAAAGGCCCAGTAAACAAACCATCCATGGAAAACTTTCGAAATATCTAACACACGGAGACAGGGTTCAGGGACTCAACCTTGGAGGCTGTCATTCTATTTGGAGGGAACACAGAGACAGTTGGGACCTGTGGTGAGACTTAATCCTACATCCCACAAGTTACTTGCCTGAAATTTCTGGGAAAAAAATCGCTTTAAAATTCTAGCAGTTGTAAACCAAGCAGATGCTCTGGCAAAACCAAATGTACTTCTAAGGGAACCTGAGGCTGACTACCAAGAAAACATGGCTTAGACAGAGAGAATGAAAGAAAGTTGCAGGTGATCCCTGCAATCTGGGACACAAGGGTCTCCGGGCATTTAAAGTCTCCATTTCGTCAATTGACAAACAGCAACATTGATTCTGAATCCTACAGGGCTCTAACAATAGATGTCCAGCCTTGCGGTTCACAGGAGAGCAGAGAATGTTCTTTCCCGGAAGGAACCAGAAACCATAAGCTATTTTACAGAGTTAAGGCTAACATTTTCCTTCAATTTAAGAGATCCTAAATGGGGAATACTCACAATGTCCTTTTCAGGGTGTTCCAGATAAAAGATCTGCCTGAAGCTCAGAGCAACCATCAGAAGAAAGCCAGGTGCCTAGCTGCTGCGGAGTTGGGAATGAGTGTGATAGGTAGATGTAAAGACCTTCAGATGAACCCAAGCAAGGAGCTGCTCGGAAGACACCTGGGTCCATTAGTCAGCTCAACCTCCATCCTAAGTCATTCTAATTTGATTTTTTCTCTGTGTACTGCTAACGGTCCCCAGAAGCCAAGTGTTGCAGAGGGCTCTCAGGGAGGACTTGAGCCTCCTTGAACTCAGGCGCTGCAAACTCTACTTTGCTAGATACAGCAGTTTCTGGGGCAAAAACTTGGTTTTGAGGCAAGGGGCAGGAATCTTATACAAGAAAGCTATAGAACCAAGGAACCACTAGGATTCGCAGTGTCGACTCCCTAGGGAGAAGAAGTCTGTGTTTGGGAGCGCTGAAGCACTGTAAATCTTTCCTTGTTTTGAAAGGGGGTCACTCAGACAGAGACAACTTTTGATCCTCTCTTTGGCAAATTTTCTAGTTTCTTCTCTATAAAATCTGTAAGAAAAACACGCCCACTCGAGCTTGATTTCCCCCAACGTTTGAAATGTAGATTTTCTTCGTAGGCGGCTCTACTAGGGCTCTCCTCGACCTACTCCAAGTCACCATTCTACCCCACCCCCAGCCCTGAGGCGTCGCCGCCCCAGTTTCCTTCCAAAGGCAACTGCCATGGGGCCACCCGCAGTGCATCTACGGCGTTGTTGGTACGAGCTACAGGCTGTGTCCCAGAGAACCGATTTCACGCGGGTCTCTGTGTTTATTCCTTCTGCTGATAAGGACTTGGGGCTTTCTCTGGACCTACAGTGTGAGCTCTTCTGAACCTCAAGTCGACCTGGAGCCTGGGGAGGCCTTTTAGGACCAAGGGAAGCCATCGTTTCCACAGTCGGCGGCTAATTCTTGTTCTCCTAGTGCCCAGTGGCAGTCCCCCTTCCCCCACCTCTGTCGCCCCAACGTTTCCAGACACCAGCCCCCAGCCACCCGCCAGCCACTATCACTGGCGAGGGCACAGCTAGCCTGGAGCAAAGTTGGCGGCCACCTTCGCGCTCTGCTGCTCTCTTTCCTCCTCCTCTTCTTCCTCGCGGCCACCTTCCCCCCGGGCCCGCGGCCGCCGCCTCCTGCACACAAGTCGGCAGGCTCCGCGAGACCAAAGAGTGGAACGACACATCCCGAGTCACCCCTCGTTCAGTCTGCGCCCTTTGTGCTCCTAGGGGCCAAGAGGACAGGGCTCTGGAAGGGTGGCGCCGCAGCTCTGCGTTCGGCTCTGGGGAACCGTGTGCTCGGGGCAGCCCGGGGCGCTGGCAGTGATCCAGGGAGGGGAGCGGCGGGGGAAGCGGCGCGCAGGGGAGGGCAGAGGCGGAGAGCCACGAGCCCAGGAGCAGAGGCGGGCTCCGCACCACCCTGCGCCCCGCACGCTCCCCGGCTCTCGAGACGCGCGGGCGGCCGCCTGGGCGCACAAGCCGGGTCACCTTGTCCCGGAGGGTAAGTACCGAGTTACCAGAGCTGCGCGGGAGGACCCCGGGCCGCCGGAGTGGGCGGGGGCGGCGGGCGCGGGAGGATGCCCTGGTGCAGGCGGGTGTCCTGCTCCGCCTCGCAGCGCGCAGACCAGGCGGCGGTGGCGGTGTGCCGGCCGCGGTAAGTCCTGAAGGGTCGCAGTGGCCGGACCAGGGAGACACAGTGTCGCCCAGATTGAGGGGAGATGGCGCCTGGCGGGGGAGATGTACTAAGGACAGGAACCCGTACTATCAGCCCAGGTTGCAACTTGGCGCTTCGCCACCTTGGGTACCCAGGCAGAGTGAAGGGGCTGCTGTGCGACGTCGGGTAGAGCTAGTGAGTCTGTGTCCTGAGTTCGGCGGAGACAGGCTGCCCGGGATCAGGCCGGGGTACAGGAACACCTAGGTGATACCGACCAATCCCTGGAGCTACCTAGCTGAGTGCAAGAGGGGCTGGCGAGCAAAGCATCTGCGGAGGTGGCACCGAGTGAGGTCCACATGGGACAGGGAAGGGAAGGGCCAGGAGAAAGAAAATGTAGAGTTCCGGAGCATCTGGATTGGGGTGGGTGGGTGGATTGGGAGCACAATCGGTTACCTGGGCGGAGGACAAGACTTCTAGAACCCTTCACCTACAGCCGGGACGAGACCGGGTTTTATGAGCTGTCCGGCCCCTGGCAGCGCGACAATCTGCAGCCTCGGAGCCGCCAGTCCTGGCGCCGAGATGGGAGCAAGCAGATGCGATATAGGGGTTTACATTCTAGTTTTGTTGTCCCTGGGCGTGATTTCTACACTTCATTAGTGTCCTTTCTGTAAATACTGGAGAAAGGGTGGGCCATCCATGGAGTTGGACACTTTTCTTAAGAAAAGGCTTTTGGGCATTTGCCTGTTTTGTTGGACCCTAGCAGTGTGGTGGAGGAACCTTCAGCTGTGCTTTGGGCAAGTAGGGGAAGGATCGCTTGGCTTTACTAAAGGGCAAGAAGGGGTCTTCTGGTAGCAGAAGCGCAGGCACGCGGTACCTCAGACTTAAGGTGCGCACCACACTCCTGCGGTGTTAGATGTGGAGGTGGCGCCTCTGCGCTGCGGGCAAGGACTGGGTTGCCTGTGCCTTTCATAGTCTCACCAGGGTTTTTGGTGCAGCAAACGGTGGTCTCAGTTTAGCTGTTTGAGGGATGTAGGGGGCGGACTAATACAGAGGGGCTGTTTTTCTATTTAGAATCAGGCAGTGGGACATGCGTCTGTGGGGCCCTCTTCTGCAGAGCTGCGAGGTGGTAACCATCAGACTGCGAACTGCGCAGACCTGCAGCTTGAGCGGTGTGTGTGTGTGTGTGTGTGTGTGTTGCGGTGTGTGTGTGTGTGGGGGGTAACAGCTTCTTAACATATCTCAGAGCTTGATAACTTTTCTCTGTCAAGATGTCTGCAGTTCGGGGTGCTTCCAGAGTAGTAGCTTCAAAGAGGGAAAAAAGGAGTCCGAAGGAAGTATCTATAGTCTGGTGTCAGTTTGGAAGAGGGGAGAAGCTGAGGGGAATGTTCAGAGAAGTTGTTTATGCCTTTGACTGTCCTTTCGAAGTTTTAGACCACAGGTGCGGGGCCTGTGGATGTGTGAGGAAGCATCTTTCTTTCCTCTTTGCTTCCTTTCCTCGCGCCTACAAACACTTTAGCCTTTTGCTGGGGCAAATTTGGTTCTGTAAGCGATCAGGTGCTCTTCTCACTCTGTCCCCACTGCCTGCACCTGCAAAGAGGACTCATCCTAAGTTAGCTGGCCCTTTCCAGTAAGAGAGAGTACTGTGGTACCAGGGAAGAGGGAGTGGGGAAGCATTTCAAACTTTTCTATTACAGAAATTTTCAATGATATAGAAAGGTAGAGAGATGCCCTTGGCCTCCTCTCCTTGTTTCTCAGAGTCCTGGAGGCCTTGTTTGGGAAAAACTTCATCCCAAAAGGATGACTGAGGGGAGGAAAATGTTAGCTTGATTTGGTTATTCCACATTATACAAATAAATCATAGCATCACTTTGTCCTGTAGGCCTATACAATTATATACAGTATCCAATAAAGCAAGTTTATTGGTTAAAATAGTAAAATATATTGATGTTAAATTGTATTGTAAAATGCAATTTAGCCGGGCAGTGGTGGCGCACACCTTTAATCCCAGCACTTTGGAGGCAGAGGCAGGTGGATTTCTGAGTTTGAGGCCAGCCTGGTCTACAGAGTGAGTTCCAGGACAGCCAGGGCTATACAGAGAAATTCTGTCTTGAAAAACAAAACAAAACAAACAAACAAAACCAAATCCAAAAAATACAATTTAGAAAAGTAATATGTTTACATACAGGCTTTTTGTATGTGCTTCATTTTGGTTTTAACTTTAAAAAGAAAAAAATTAATTTCTAGCTGACTTTACCTGTCTGCACTTGGTCCTGTCTCTGAGAATGATGGCAATTCATTGCAAGTTAGCCTGGCCATCATAAATAATTGCTGTGTGTTTTGTTTCTTGTTGGATTGGATCCCAGGACCTCACTGCAAATGCTAACCACGGCCATACTGCTGAGATACATTCTGGATCCTAAATATGACTGTTGCTAATGATCTCAGTAGAACACAGATGATCTTCATACAAGGAAAGACATTCCTCTCCCCATTTATACCATAGGGGAAAAACACAGCCTGCTACTTTTACAGGAAGAACAGGGAAGGCCATGGCAGGAGGAAAGACAATTTCAATTACTGAGGAAAACCGGCCTTTTAAATGTTCTGCTCTTGTTTACCTGGGGTCTGAGAAAGGTTTTTGTTGACTAGTTGCTTGAAGAATAACAAAATAATTTTTTAAAAAAATGTTAAAATCTTTAAGACTCAATTTATAAGTTATAAGCAATTAATTTCTTCCACATTTAACAGTGACATGGAAAGGCTGCAATGGCCTGAACTCGCATCTTTCATATTACCCTCCTCAAGTGAGTCTTATTTGCTAGGAAGCATTTGCTTATGTAAATTTTCTCCCCGAGACACCTTGTCTGCTGTTGTAGTTACAAGACTCACTGAGAGTGTTGCATGGTCCAGGGGTTCATTAGGAAACCTTCCATGGGCATTCCTGTCTCACTGGCTCTGTGGAGGAGGTTCCATGTCTGCTGGGATTTGGTACCCAGTGTGATTTTAGTACTATAGAAAGGTGCACCACACACTAGAGAAGGCTAGGAGAGTAAACAGTAGGAATGTCTTCCCTTGTAGATCCCCCAGCCTCTAGTACACCTCTAAATTTGCTTTGAGATAAAAGCTATTCCTAAAAAATGTCAATGGTGTTCCTGGGGTAGGGTAGCCTTTGAAATACCTTTATGAAGAACACTGTACAAAGGGATCCTCAGTTATCCTTTTGTTAAGTGATCATTGTCGTGTAAGTGAGCACTTTCATCATGTCCTCTCATGTAAAACTTTGGTATTTTTGTTTTATGCCAATGAAGGCCTGTACATCTCACTTTGTTTCTTTCAAGTTTCCCTGCCTGCTGGAGAATACAGATCTCCAGGCACAGATTGGCACAGTATTACAACCTGTGGTTTGAACAGATACCCCAGTTTTAGAAACACTATGGGATGGAAGGATAGGGTGTCTACTTGTCAGAATCAGCTGGTAGGAGCAAATGAGATTACATTGGAATGCTACATGGGGCTGGTTTACAGAAATGTGCTCATGTGAGGTGTTTTGAGGGGTATAGCTCACTGTGACCTAGCTACACCGTACTGGGGACACTGAGGCACAATGCCAAAAAAGGTGAAAATATTCCAAACATTGAAGGCAGGCTGACCAGTCTCTTACTAATACTTCCAGAATTGCAATAATGAAGATCAGCTGGTAATTTTAGATATGATTCTTTTTAAAGCATTCTCTGTGCAAGACTCTTGCATGTTTCCAATTATTGCTCAGAGTTTGAAAATCTATTTTAAAGAGAATCATGAGCAACTGAGCATCACTCTGCAGCCCAGTCAGTTCCTTGGTCATTGTTTCTTACAACCAGATTGTGTGCTATGGGCAAATGAAGAGTGGTTCTTTTTCCTGGGTTGCCACTCTCTCTCTGTAGAACTTCCAGGAAGACCTGTGAAAAGGTCCTTGTTTCAAACTTTGGGCTTTACTACAGGAGCTTTGAACTACCTTAAAGAAATCTCTTAGCTTTTATGGGATTCTGTCGCGTTTCAACCACATTCTTCTCAGGATTTTGAAAACAAAATGGTTACAGTGGTCACTGTTTGCTAAAGGGAAGGAGCTTCAGGTAAAAGATGTGTTCTTTGAGTCTTGTCTCAGTGTCCTGTTGCTGTGAAGAGATACCATCATCATGACAACTCTTAATAAAGCATTTTATTGGGGCTTGCTTACACTTTGAGAGGTTTAGCCCATTATTATCATGGCAGGAAGCATGGCCACATGTGGACTTGGTACTGGAGCAGTTGGGAGAACTACACCCTGACTCTCACACAGCAGGAAGGAGCAGTGTTGCAACTGGGCCTGGCTTGACCTTCTGAAACCTCAAAGCCTGCCCCCAGTGACATACTGAAAGTTCAAATATAAGAGCCTATTGAAACCATTCTTATTTAAACCACCATAAGTCTTAACGAATGTTTCTTTGGGCATGCTTATAGTCACTGGCTAGATAAGAAAACAGAATGGGATTGCCTTTCTTGTATCTGTATCTTAAAACTGCCTGAGTCTCAGGAGGACGGTGTACACACCTCAATGAGGGCAGACCAGCTTGCCCACAGGAGTATGTGAGACACATGTCAGCAGTCCCATCTGCTAACAAGACCCAGAGACTGTGGAGTAGACCCACATGAGCACTAGCATTTGTGTAGCTACCTTAACTAAAAGTGGATTCCTGTCATATTACAAGATAAGCCATCATAAAGCAAATTCTTAACAGAAGCCAGACACTATGTGGGACACATGGTAATTTATGTTGTGTATGTCACAAAGTCTCAATTGTCTTAAGCTTCCATGTGACAAAGACTCTATTAAATTACTAAAAATAAAGTAAAACAAGGTACTAAAGAAAAACAACAAATGAGCATGGGATTGGAAGAATGGTTAGAATTAAAAAGAACACAGAAAGTATCACACACATGTAGGAGACAAGAATAAAAGCCAGTTCTGTATCCTCTTATAA